TTGATGTTTTGATTGTGTGTTACAGGTCAAAGTCAGAATAAGTGTTAGTGTATTAAGTTGTGCGGCTAGATACGTGTGAAATTCGCTGTCGGATACAGGTTAAAGTCAAGCCAAATGTTGGTGTTTTATATTGTTAGACATAGTTCAGAGTCAGACCAAATGTTGGTGTTTTACATCGTCAGACACAAGTTAAAGTCAACCCCAGTATTAGTGTTTAACGTTGTTAGACACAGATCAGAGTCAGACCAAATGTTGTTGTTTTACATAGCAGACACAAGTCAAAGTCAACCTTAATGTTAGTGTTTAACGTTGTTAGACATAGATCAGAGTCAGACCAAATGTTGTTGTTTTACATAGCAGACACAAGTGAAAGTCAACCCTAATGTTAGTGTTTAACGTTGTTAGACATAGATCAGAGTCAGACCAAATGTTGGTGTTTTACATCGTCAGACACAAGTCAAAGTCAACCCTAATGTTAGTTTTAACGTTGTTAGACATAGATCAGAGTCAGACCAAATGCTGGGGTTTTACATAGCAGACACAAGTGAAAGTCAACCCTAATGTTAGTGTTTAACGTTGTTAGACATAGATCAGAGTCAGACCAAATGTTGGGGTTTTACATCTTCTTTTGTCTATGTAAAATCGTTTCTGTGGATAATATGGACTAGAAACAAGCTACTAGGTTTAATTGGGCCACGTATGCTCTTTTATTCTTCTATGTTAGTTTTAAATGGACTATGTGTGCCCCTTGAAGTTTACCAACTCGACAACATTTATATAGTTAATCAGATCTCCGTAAGAATTCAGATATCATAGATTTTGTGTTCTTTTTTCTGTGAAAAAATTGTCTACAAACTTTGATGAATTTTGGTACAACTTAAAAAGTTTTAAGACCAAGCTCTAAATTACATCAGACGTGCCACAAGTGCAGGAACAGAGATGAAATGCTGAATTACAAATCTCCATCTTTAATTGGTTAGAAACCAAGGAGGAATAAAAATGGCTTCCACGACACGGAACACCACTAGCCAGATGCTCCATGATGGCTCAGTAGTAAACTTTATAGCTTATAAGGCAAAAGTTTAAGGTTCCATTTCTGCAGCATACACAACGCTGACGTTCCATCAAATAGTAAAACGAGCAGTAACCATTGGCCAAGTCATAATCAGCGGCACTTACAAAGGCGACCTCTGGGGGCAAGTTGCACAATATTAAAAAAAATCTAACTCCCTATGCTACCCGAGAACCCCCTCTTACCCCCAAGAAAAAAAAACCACCTAAATACTGTTAATAATTTCATTTACTAGGTCAAATGAATTTTATATTATGGACATGTAATATACAGTTGATTAAAAGTAAAAAAATAAATAAAGCACAATTGACTAAAGCAGTTTGGGGGCAGACAGAAGCACGTTTTTCGTCATTAATATTATTACCGGGGAAGAATTAACTGCTGCAACACGTTCACGACTTCCTCGGGTATTAACTTTCCACCATTGTTGTAAACAGTCACGTAAAACCAGTCCCAAGCATCGTGTGTGACCTCGGTCCTGACAACTCTTTACGAACGTTACGCACGATTTAAAGGATCTGCTCCGCAGCACAGGTGATCTGCCCCCAAGCGGTAACCAGCTGCCGTTAACATTACCCTCATCTATTTTTTTTTTCCTTATTCAAGTAACGTCGTTCTGATTACTACAACACTATTTTCTTGTTAAGATTGATCCTGCTTCCTTGTTGTTGTTGTTAAGTGCAAATCCACACAATGGGCCCACGGGAATCGAAACTCGATTGTTAGTGTTATATAAGCTTAGACTTGACGCTGAGCCATCGGAGAGGCTTCTAGTACTAAAAAGTATTTATTTACCAAAACCAAACAAACAAAATTACTACTAGTTCATACCGGCATTTTTTTTTTGGCATCATCAGTGCAGTTGCGTTACGAGATGCTAATTTATCAATGACACTAAATACCAACTTCGAGGGAAAAATTGCTTATGGCTTACCTCCGACATGATACTTCTCTAGCAAGGCTAATAAGGTCTGATAAATATTATACTGAGAACATATTATATGTTATTTAGCTTAGAAGGTGCTAAAAGCGTTTATTCGTTTCTTTATGAGAATCCTCTATTAAACAGCTTGTCATGTTGTTTCAAAGAGGTAGACTAGGGCTAGCTTTTATATACCTGAAATTCACGTATGAAAGTTCCTTATGATTTTAACTAAGGCTACAAATGTTTACAAATTAACACATCTAACCTTCAATGTGTTAGACTGACAGCTCTTGTGAAAAGATTTAATAATAATAATAAGTAAAAAAAAAGCAAATTATTAAAGCTAACAAAGTCTACACCTTTCCGTGTAACGTGCTCCACTATCTTCAGGAGAACAAGAAGTCCATTTATAATAATCCTATCAAGTCCGTGAAGAGAAGTTTACTCACCGAATAAGGTCCACGCTCAATGAAATATTCAACAGTGTTGAAAAGACCTGCTTGATCGTCATCAACGGCTTTGATGTCTTGCATTACCACAGTTCCGACCACCGTTATCTGTTAAAAAAGGATGACGAAACACTAATTACTGTAATCATCTGTGGAAAACAGTGGACGAAACACTAATTACCACAGTTCCGACCATCGTTATCTGTTAAAAAAGGATGACGAAACATTAATTACTGTAATTATTTGTGAAAAACAGTGGACGAAACACTAATTACCACAGTTCCGACCACCGTTATCTGTTAAAAAAGGATGACGAAACATTAATTACTGTAATTATCT